TGACCCCAAAGGTTCCTGACGCTCTACGATCACGAGCTTTCCTAACTCCCTGCCCCAGGGTTCGTCATTGACAAGTTCTTAGTTGAACACTCGGCTGGTTCCATAAAACTCGTGGTTCGGCGCTCTCTTTGTAACATTCCGCTACCGGACTCTTTGAGCCAGTTCAGTCCGGTCCACGCCTTCATTTATCCTAGTATGTCTTGTGCCTTCTGGGATGTTGCGCCATGATATTTAAGAATTCAGTCCGTACCGCGAAGAAAACACAACATCGTACCATTAAAATCGCTGCTTAATGTGAGAATCATACGAAACACGTAAATACAATCTGTGGGGAAAATTCAGTAATTGAGTGTTCAAGCAGATGGCTCTGTGCTCAAAATAGTTGAATGTACATCAAGAACACAGGAGAATGGAAATTCGCGAGCAGGACGTACGTAAAACAGCCTTATGGCTTTTGTTTATTCTGGTGCATGTGTTTTTGCGTAGGGGCATTGGTCAGTCCGCGTGGTAGGAACCCCAGTGGGGTCACCCTGCAGCCCTTCCGCTTTCAGGCGTAAAGAAGTGACTTCTCTTTTAATTGGACTGTCCAGATGATGGATGGGGCGGCCACCCTGATTTCGCCGCCGTAAAAGAAGCGAGGCGAAGTGGGGCGTGTTGGGTGACGCGAGAAGTTGGAGTGCGGGGTGGAGAGAAGGGAAAGAAAATGTCGTGCTGCATTATGGGAAGGCAAACAGCAGGGATGCTGGGTCTGGAGCGTAGTTCAACGCCTGCACTTCGTATCTCGCGTATCCTGACAAGCATGTCTCTCAGCTTTTCCAAAGCACTTGAAGACGGTGACAACCATTTCCTTCCAAATCCCTCCCTTTCGCCCATTCTGTGCGCGTGGTATAACGAACTGCATGCAGTAAGGTTTTCTTAATCAGGTTTGCGGACATTATTTGGGTCGTAAAATCAAGGAGGATTAGATTGGTGGAACATGTAGCGCGCATGGGGAGATGAAAATGAAAAAAAAATAGTTAGGAAATCTGAAGGAAAGAAACAACTCGGAGGACCGAAGCGTAGATGGGAGGATAATATTAAAATGTATGACCGGTGGAGAGCTGTTGTGACACGGTAATTAACTTTTCTATTTAAACCGGATGTCTTATCTGGCTGGTCCATGGAGTCATCTGACAGCTAGTCAGGCGATCATGGAAATACTTGTTTTCATACTGGGGATACTTGGAACGACCCGTTCTTCAAGTGCCTGAGCACTGCGGGTCCCAACTTTTTGTTGGTTTTGATCTATAGACGTTTTGGTAGGACTCCTTGGACGAGGGATCGGCCCGTCGCAAGGCCTCTTACCTGTACACAGGACAGCACAACATCCATGGCTTGAGTGGGATTCGAACCCACGGTCGTAGTGACCAAGCCGCACAGGGCCCACGCCTCAGACCGCGGGCCACTGCGGACCCCCCCACCTGCTTTCATACAGCCATAAGTTTGATTGCCGTGTTCACGAACGTTCAGTATTCTTGCCCTTGTTTTTAAACGTAACCTCAAGTCCGTGACGTTTTGTAATATGCCGGCTCGTGGGGACGCGTTAGCTGCAACCCGGACAACGCCTCCTGGCCAGCCGTGACCGACTTTATGTTTGTTCGCAGTCACACAGTCCGTGTCCTCCTTTTTAAAGTGGGGACGCGTTAGCTACAACCCGGACAACGCCTCCCGGCCAGCCGTGACCGACTTTATGTGTGTTCGCAGTCACACAGTCCGTGTCCTCATTCTGTAACCTGACTGCCGTAGTTAACACGGCCAATTAATGCAGTGTTATTAAATAATTGTAGAGACGATGGCCAGCAGGAAGTCCTTGCCTGTTCGTAAATTCAATTCCGTAGGAAGGACAAAACACTTTAAGACAAGTTGGGATAATAGCGAACATCGTGTTCACGCAGTGTCCTTATGAGACTAGGTTGTTTACTGTGGTCGAACCTGCATTCCACCAGCTGAGAATGCTGGAACTATAAACAGAATTGTGACAATATTTGTTTGTTTGTTTGTTTGTTGCCACGAATGCCCTGCAGATAATAGACTCGAGACGGTGACATTTCTTGGAATCCACATACCAGTGAACATGCCATAGGTTCGTCACTGTAAAGGAATCAGATGAACGAGAAATTATGTGATTCTTTTGCTAACTCGAATGTTCGTCACGATGTTCACAAACGCACGTGCATGAATCTGTATGTGCTTCACTATCTAAAATATTATAAAGTAATGGTAGTTGGATGTTAACTTGCGGGTGTGAAAACTAGGCTTTAAACGGAAAGAATACGCGAAGTGTTGAAACAAAATTATACCCCGGGGGCTGTGAATATGTCGATGTTGTGTTGCAACGCCGTGTAAGACTTTCGGAGGAGCATACTGCCTTCATCTTCAGGGATTCATCCTCACGGAGTTACGCCACAGGCGACCGACATCCAGCTGTTGTTTTACGCGCCGGCCTTTGGTGTCCGTAAGGCGACTCTAGGCGCCAGTCTCAAAGTTTCGTTCTCAAGTGACGATTTCCTTCCCTCGAACCTTTCTCACCACCCCTTCTCAAAGTCGTAAATTGCCCATTAATGCGAACTTCTGGCTTTGCAGGCAGTGACCAAACCCCCCCCCCCGCACTACCACCACTTTGGGGCCGCCATCATGTCACCGAGCTGTTAGGTAAACCCGCTGGACCACCAACTTCATCGTTCTCAATAGGCGAGATAAACCTTAAAATGGATCGTGTTCCTGTAGGCGGGTGTCGGAATTTCCTTACAATCTTCACTTCTCGGCAAAGTCGTATGCTTCTTAGAAGAGACTTAAGTAAGCCTTCGCCTTCAGGAAAGAAAGGCGAAACATGAATTGTAGGGGCTGTGGTATCGATGGGGCACAAGATGATTTACCGGCGTACTTGTGATTCAGACAAATGACCAGATTAATGGATAGATTTGTTTTTGTTTCTTTGCTGATTTTTATCTGCAGTGTCGAACGTTAGGGTAATCTGAGGGTGATGGACCGTGATCCCCACACCGCAATATTTGGTCACTTGGGTTGAACATATTAGTTCATACATTACCTTGTAATGTTGGGGCGATTAGATCAAAGGTTATGAGCTGGTCGGAACACGAATGGACTGTTCATTTATGCAAACAAAAAAATTTCAGTTGTGAAAACCTCAAAGGAAGAAGCCCATTTAGTAGATCTAGAAGAAATGGGGGTATTAAAGTCCAGCTTCGTGTTCTTCCAGAGTAAGACTCCAAATTATTTAACGCGCCAATAGAAGCGTACAGTCTAGGTCAGTGGTATTCAACCTGGGGTACGTGTACCCCCGGGGATACGTGAAGACATCTTAGGGGGTACGTGAAATTTAAAAATATATATATTATTTTATGATAAACACTGAATAATCAGTAATGTAATTTATTTAATTTATTTTTGATGTAGATTATATACTCTGTATAACTCAAATTATACACCAACAACTTTGGGGGGTACAAAGTTGAAGAGAAATTATATCTGGGGGTACGCGAGCAAAAAAGGTTGAATACCACTGTTCTAGGTAACACTGCGTCGCTGACTGTGAGTGTTTGTAACCCGCCAACTTTTATATTTCATAGTTTAATCGCCCGTTGTCCAGTGCTCTGATTGACGTGTTTTCTGAACAGCTGAACGAGCAGATCCCTGCTACAGATCACCAGCAAGAACTGAACGGTTTCATCGAGAGCAGTCCGATCTACGTGACGTCCATCCCAGCAAGCAATAGTACAGCGGGCCAACACCAGCCGAAGCAGGACACTCCCCCTCGCAGGACAGCCATCGTACCGGGCCGGAGCGTGAAGCCGGGACCCCTTAGCAACGGCCATGCTATCACCAATACCAGCAGCACGGAGGAGCCCGACTCTGCCGCCGAAATCGAGCTGAAGCAAAACCTTAGTGAGGATCTAGTGAACAGTGTTAGTGAGTGCGGTGCAAGTACTAGGGGCAGGGAGGTCAAGGAGGTCAGGGCCGCCTCTCCCTTCGCGAACGGTCGGACCGAAGTGCTAATCGGCCAGGATTCTACTGACGCGTGTAGTGGAACGGGAAAGCTCCGGACGACGGCCATAGTGGAGAACAGTTGTGCCAAGAAGCCAGGCGGAGGGGAAGATACCCTCAACAGGTAAGGGTTTGTTCTAGTGAACGCAGAACGAGTCTCGTATATCGCGGCCACACAGGTCACCGGACTTCAAAATGTGACGAGCTGAAATTACACCCGGAGAAAGCACGTTTGTCGTGTTTATTCCGCCACGGAGACTGATTTGTTGTCGTAAATGCCTTCGTATGCTGACTTCCAGTTTCGGGCTTTTAATGGACCGTGAAAAGACGCGGAGTTTACGTGAATCCGGGTCCAGTTTTGGTGTTGAAAGCGGGAAGATACGTGAACGGACTTCGTTAAGCCCGTCGTGAATCAGTAGTACAATCCTGTTATTTTCTAAGTAAATATCTCTCTGGTTTCCCCGATCGAAAATGTGCACACAAAACTTTTTCTAGTTTTTATGTCGTGAAGTATTTTGAAACGTTGCGAAATGTGAAGGACTCTTACGGCTCTACTTGTTTTTACCCTGAATCCAGCCTGTTGTAGTGTCAGCCTGAGGTTATATTATGCTGGCTGGCTGGCCTTTCGCCCAACTCTAAGGCAGAGCGAGCGACACTGCAATTTCAGCTTCCGATATTCCGAAAATAAAATTGTTTTTGCGTATCTCGAAGCGCGAGAAGGCTGACTCGGAGTAACGCATCAAAATATTATGTTCGGTGCTGTACGGTCTGTCGTAATTCTACCAGTCTTTTATTCTCTGCACCCAAAGTTTAAGGATAGTGCCACAAGTCAGACCACGACCAATTCCCTACTTTTCAATATATCAGTAAATCGTCTTCTGTAATTCCGCACCGAATAACCCCTCTGTCTTTAAAACGCCAAAACAAGCAACCAAACATGTGTGGTTCCGCATTTACGCAGTGGAAACGTCACATTTTTTTTTTATTTAAATGTGCCAAGCAGTGTTGCCAAACTTATTTTCGGTGTCAGAACAGCTTATGACAACCAGAAGTCCGAGCTATGACTTGATCTGATTACTGCGCCTTAGTGGTATGCAACACAACTTACTGAAATGCTAGGCGGGAAATATACTGAACAGTAATTTCAGAGGCGTCATGCTGTAACGAAACATGGCGGTGAAACTCTGTATGCATTTGTTATTTCTCCATGATTCTTACTGTAAACAGCGAGATCGTTTCCTCAAAAAGCGTCAAACAGTTGATTTTCGTTATGGTGGAGTGTTGTGTTTTCTTTGCGGTACGGACTGGATTCTTGAATGTTATTTACGTGAGCTTTGGCCATCTCGACACAGGTTTTTCTTGGTTTTCCTCTGTCTTCAAGCAAATGCTGAGATGGTTCCCAAGTTCCAAGTTGCCACTGCAAGCTTCTCATGCAGCCCTCCCGATTTAAATTAATCAAAATTTACCACCCCTTAACGCCGTCAAAATTTACCCCCCCTCCCCTCAGTAGGAACTTCTAAATTATGTCCTAAACTTCCAAATTAATAGTCTCAGCTTTCTCTAATACAAAATTTCAAAATTCCGTTCTTTGCGGTACGGACTGAATTCTTAAATATTTTTAGATTGTGTCAGTTGATTTTGTAATGGTGAAGTCTTGTGTTTTCTTTGCGGTACAGACTGAATTCTTAAATATTTTTAGATGAGATCAGTTGATTTTGTAATGGTGAAGTCTTGTGTTTTCTTTGCGGTACGGACTGGATTCTTAAATATTATTTACGTGAGCTTTTTTGTTGAGTTAATGAAGTATCGATCTGGTACTAAGAGATTGGCGCCATCTGCTAATATTGACGTAGTTATAGGATGGTTCACATTCGTTGTTCGCAGCTGTTGTGGGAGGGTCGCGTTCACCAGGTTGCCTGCTTTCCGAACATGATGTGTTTGTTACGTCTTCGGCGTACGTGTCGAAGCTAAGTTATAAATAGATGTGTAAGGACGGTGGAACGGCTAGGGCGTGTCTCCAGGTTTTTTGATTTCCGCAAAACATTTATCACTTACCCTGCTATGAGCGAGATATCTCGCTTGGAAGGACGAGATTGCATTGGCCTTCGAGAAGATCAGAAATAGAGACGTGCTTTGCCATCTCCCAATACGTCTTCCTTAGTAGAATTTGAGGTTCTGTGAGTACGAAGATGGCTGATTTCTGGGTTGTAGCGCCGTGTAGTCTCGTAGAAGTTTTCCGACGTTTCAGAGGTCCTTACTTTCAAGCAATATAAATTACACGTTCCCATGCAGTAACGAAGGATGGTTATTTTGAAAAGAGGCCTAACGTCGTTGCCTAGTGGTTAGCATTCCT